CATTGTAAGCTCTTGCATGCTTGAAAAGGATGCTGGTAGAGATTTGAGAATAGGACTGAAGAAGCCAAGAACATTGAGACCTTTCAGGCTATGAAAGAAAGTATCCGGGACTTCCTTGCCTAGACGATTACCATCAAGCAATAATGTTGAGATTTTCTCTGATTTACTGCTACATCCAACTGTTCTTATCACACCGTCAATCAGTGCAATGTCCCCAAATCCTTCCCACATGTTGTCCTTCAAAGAAGGAACCATTGAACAGCTCTCTGCACCTGTAAATCTTTGAGAATCCCTACCCAAATAATGTCCTCCACGTCTGTTCTTGTCGTAAATCACATGATCTTCTTCATCTTTGATCCACCAATAAGGCACTTTCATTGCACATCCCACCATTACAACGCAGTTGGACTTCATATGTTTGAGAAAGCGTAGATTTATAAGCTCCAGGAGAACAGAGTAACCCTTCTTAAAAGCATCCTCAATACAATTAATACCACCAAGACAACCCTCCATAATCCAGTGGGCTATCAATCGAGTGAAATTAACAGGACCATTCATGTGAATGTACTGCCAGCTGTGCCAGAAACAATAAATCAGATCATTGGTTGGCATAATTGCATGTGCAATTCGGAGAAAGCAAGGTATAATGCTGGAGGCATCAGTAATTGCCGAGTCTACTACTAACTCTTCTCTAATAGCCCGATGTTTATATTCCGTGATGTAATTTAATGCTTCTGCCATAGCCTCAATTTTAGCAGGAGCACCCTCGCTTTCCTTGTAGATATCTTCAAATAGTAGTTTAAAATCTGGATTTTTGACTTGTTTTTGCAAAAGAGTGAAGGTGTCTGCTGCAGACAAGGGTTCCATCTCTACCACCTTCAAGTAAGGACCAATAAGATTTCCAGAGTAATCTGTGGTGGTGACTAAGACTTTAAATGAAGGCTGCTTAAAATCAGGAATCAAGGATTCAAATTCTGATACAATATCATCTACTTTCCTTCCCTTTAAAACTCCATCCAAGATTAAAAGACACCTCTTCGTACCAATAGCTGTTGATATTTTCTGTTTCAGATACCCTTCTTTCTGCATCTCCTCATCCTCATCGTCATCGTCATCACCATCGTTATCCTCATCCCACTCCTCAGTTGGCAGACATATAGGCAACTGAGCAGCAATCCTCTCAAGCGGAGATTCCTTGTCATGTTTTCTGCTCATAGACAGCCAAAAACATAAATCAAACTGACCTTGTTGCTTTACAATATCATGAACCTTTTTTGCCGTCCATGTTTTCCCTATTCCTGGTTTCCCAACAAGACACACTACTTTAACATGGTCATCGCACAGCTCCTTCGGTATGGATTGTAAGCGAGAACCCAGTGTGTCCTCGTTAGTCATGGCTGATCCTGTTGCAAAATGTTCGTATGAGGAAGTATCTTCCTGTTAGGCACCAGTAAATAAGAAACAAGCAATGAGAGAATGGAGACTTTCGATAAATAAAATGATACAAGTTACAGCTTAAGATTACAGGAGTCATGGTAAGAATGGTGGAAGAGAATGTATCTTAAGATAAATAGGATGAAGGCTGTAAGTTTCTATATGCAAAAACAATTCAAATCTAAAGCCGTCCAAGATAAATAAGAGAAAAGTTCAAGTGTGGCAGAACTCGTAGAAAACTTGAAACAGAATAATCATGAAGAAGAGTGAAGAAGAAGAGAAAAAAAAAAAAAAAAAAGAAATAGAGCTCGTTAAAAACCTGTAGATTTCGGTTGGAGCTTCTTCTGGATGAAGACGATAATGGATCTTTTTTATATAAACAAAAACAGACAGATCCGTTTTGCTAACCAAAACCTGGAAGTCAACAGGACGAAGAAGATGCAGAATAATGTAAATAAATAAATAAATAAATTATAAACAAAAGCAAAAGCCAATAAATTAATTTTTATATCTTTAATTACTACAATATCATTTTATTTTATACTGTGGATAGGATCCAATTTTAGAATTTTTTATGTAAATAGAAAGTAAAAAAATTTAATAAAAATATAAAAGAATTATTATATTGCATGTTAAATGGTGTATTATGAAATAAATAAGTGATTAAGAATTAAAGTTAAAGTTTATTTTTATATCTGAAATTGTAAATAGGTAATTATTATAAGTATTATCACTTTAGTTCTATTTTATTTACTATATATTATTATTATTATTATTATATATATTTAAACTAAGATATTTGAGTAACATGAACCGGTTGAGATTATTTGTTTAATCAAAATGGAATAGAATTATTTTATTAAATTAAATTAAAGATTGAATTCTATTTTTAAAAAATATATATATATTAATTTTACTTTAAAAAATTAAGGATATCAACAAATTCACCCTTCACAGCGAAACTCCAACAAGCCTGCACTCCATATATGCACCCTCAGTAGCAGATTATGAAGCAAATTTAATACCAAATAGAGCAGCTTCTTCACCAGACTATATAATCATCTCATCTTTATGTAAAAAAGCTTGAGCTTAAATCGAACAAGCAATTTTCACTTGAAATCTTATCAACATGTTATTCAATCTTACATCCAGAGCGAAGATCACGAACAACAAATCATTTTCACAATCCAGCAAACCAGAGCATATTCTTCACAAAGTAAGCAACATAGTAAAGAAGCCAACACCAGAAACGAGAAAATATAAAGCTCCAAATCGGACCGCTTCTCACCATCCAAAGAAACCATGGTACCTGCAGAACAATACAACTTAACTGGGTTAAAACATATTACCTGTAAAACCATAAACGCCATTTCAGAATGGTAAAGTTTACAAAATGTTGTACTAAAGACTCAGAGGCCTGAAAACATGCAGCTATTGGAATAATGCTGAAATTTACTAATAGATCCTCTCAGGGTATGAAATTATATAGATGATGTGAAGGGTGAAAATAAGGAACAAAAACACTCCTGCGATCGGGGTTTCACAAAACTATCATCTTTTCATTAATGAGGTACGAACAAGCACACCAAACACAAATAATTACAATGACGCAATTCATCAAAGAAGGAACAATATTCAGCTTCGTTATTACAAGATAAGAATTGCATACAGGAGATTCCACGAGGCAAAAGAAATGGTGAGAAAGTAGTAGAAAAAGAGAATCAGATTGCACAACAAATTTCTATTACAAATTACTTGATGCCTAGATCATCCTTCTAAAAATATTCCAACTTTGATGCAAGAGATATCAAGTAGAAACTACAATTGCTAACAAGAATCGTTGATAAGTATGCTTATAAATTGCTAAAAGCAATAGCATCCTCGACTGCCATTAGATTTTAATATAAAAGGGAAAATAGCATACCACAGCCATCGATTAAAAACATACAATGACATAAAATGGCAAACATAACAAACCTGGAGTTATTTCTCAAATTTCTGGAAGTCTTCATTCCTGTGTAATTTCATTTGTTTTCTGAGAGGCTATGTGTTTTATTCGTGGAGGGAACTTCGGCAAACCAAGACAGGCCTGACTGTCATCAGATTGTTCCTCAACTGCAGAAATTAGGGTCATACTCCAGTTTTGTATTGCCCAAACAAAAATAAAGAAGCATGTAAAAAAGACATCAAGTTTTGGGCATTCTCCCCCTGTTAATCTTTCAAGAGAAGGCAACGCAGCTCCAATGCTTTTCAACTCCGGCAGCTCAAACAAATGCAGAGTCCTTAGATGTTTCATTGAAGACACTGTTGTTCCATCAAACTCAAATACACGTTTGAGATTATCACAAAACCTAATCTCAAGAGTCCGAAGATTCATTGGTTGTCGGGACAAGGAGAAAACAATTTCCAGTAGCGGACAACATTCTAGATACAGATGCTTAAGATTTCTGAATCTCTCAACTTGTAAATTATTGTTGCATATACTCTTCAGATTAGGGAGGTTAAGAATCTGCAGAGTCTCAATTTTGTTTGACACTCCAACAGCTTCCTCTTCTCTACTGAAAACACTCTCCATGTTAGAGCATCTCTCTATGCAACAGCCTCTCATTGCGCTGATATTTTTTGCACCTAATTCAGATAACCAACTGATATTTGCATTATCTCGCAAACAGATATATTGAGCACGCTTGAGAACACCCTCCAGACCGAGGAAAGGACAGCAAGACCGAATTTCCAAAGACTGCCTGTGGATTTCCAAGTAACTAGGAAAACATCTGGTCCTTGTGTAAATATCTCTATATTTCGCTTCATCTCTGTGGCTAAAGAAATCTCCATCTTCACCATGCTTTCTTGGAGGAAAAACAGAGAAATGAAATTGCTTGAAGTACTTATCCCACAATATGGGATTTTTGTCCAAAAATTCAAAAAACTTGCTGCCATGAACCATTATGTGGAGATTACTTACACCCAATGGAAATACTTTTGCCGCCCCAAAGATGCCACAATCAACCCAATTTAGCTCCTCTGGAAGGCGCTTTATCCTCCTCCAATCAAGCTCTTCAGTATCCTCCAGGAGGGGGAGATGAAGTTGTTTAAGGCAAGGCAAATCTGAGATCTCATATGGAAATTCTTTTATCCCAGTACCCCAGAGATCAAGAACCTCCAAGTGACTAAGTGATTCCAAATGCTGCAGCTTCTTCAGGCACCAACAATCTCTTAGCAAGAGCCGGCAGAGATTGCATAAGAACTTCAGGGAAGGAAGGCGTTTGACTGGTGTTTCAGAAAGATCAAGAACTTCAAGCCTTGTGAGCTTTTCCAAGCCTGACGTGTCTTCTATGTGTGACCACCCTCTCAACGACAACTGGGTTAAGTTAGTTAGGAAGAAGACATCTATGTAAATAGGAGTTTTAGACAGGTTGAGAATCCGAAGGTTCCTCATATAACTAAGTAAATCACTCATCAAATAAAGTTTTCCAAGAGGAGGATATCTTATATTAGAAATATTGAGCTCCTCAAGATTTGATAGAGACCCTATAATGGGAAAGTAAACATCCCGAATTCCACAAAGTCTTAGTATCCGAAGTTGAGACAAACCCAAAAGAGTATGGGAATACTCACCATGTAATGACAAATCAGTGCAACCTGAAAGATCAATCACTTCCAGATTTTTGGGGACAGCTGGCAACCGGCTAAGGGAGGAACAACCACGTAGGATAAGCTGGCGCATATTTGGGAACTGGCTGTAATCAAAACCTGTCAGAGAACGTGCATTAGTGAGGTCAAGTACCTCAAGCCTTGCAAGTCCTTCCATTTCTGGGAGATGCTCTAAGAATTTGCATTCCCTTAAAATGATAGTGTGAAGGTTAGGAAGGTGGGAGAGTGATGGTAAAGACCGAACTTCGGTATCTGAGAGGTTTAGGCAACGAAGGCACCCCAAATGTTGAAAGGATTGATCTTCAATTTCAACTACATTAGAGGAACCAGAAACATCAAGAAATTCAAGGTCTCTACAAGCTTCTGTACTTGGCAGCTTTGTCAGTCTAGTACAATTTCTTAGCAAAATATGAGAAATGTTGCAAGTGATAGAAGGGTAGGCATACAAGTCAGTTTTAGATAAATCAAGAACTTTAAGACTAGGTGAAATGTCATCATAGATCTCTTTTAAACAAATAGCACCAGAAAGATCAAGAACTTGGAGATTAGAAAGCCCTTTTATCCTTGAAAGTCTAGTTAAGGATTTACAATTTCTCAAGACAAGCTGTGTTAGCTCTTCGAGACCAGATAGAATTGGTAGGCGATCAATCTGCGAATGAGAAACATCAAGGATCTTGAGTTTTGGTAACTGATAAAAGGTTTTATCATAGAATTTTTCAAAACATGAAGCACCATTAAGGTCAATGACCTCAAGCTTTTTCAAGGCACTTAGTCGTGGAAGCATTTTCAGGTGGCGACATCCTCTCAAGATAAGCCAGCGTAATTCAGTTAAGTTGGAAATAGAAATAGGTAACCTTTCAACCCGTGCTCCACAGAAGTTGAGACTTTGGAGTTGAAGCATATGCTGCAAAAAATCATCTGGAATTGTTGTCAATGATATAGCACCAGATATCTCGAGAGTAACTAATGATTTGAGTCCTTGTATCTGATTAATATTCTCCAGAAACTCACAGCCCCGTAAGATAAGCATTGTAAGCTCTTGCATGTGTGAAAAGGATGCTGGCAGAGATTTGAGCATGGGATTGAAGATGCCAAGAACACTGAGACCATTCAGGCGATGAAAGAATGCATCCGGGTCTTCCTTGCCTAGACAATTACCGTCAAGCAATAATGTTGAGATTTTCTCTGATTTGCTGCTATATCCAACCGTTCTTATTACACCATCAATTACTGCAATGTCCCCAAATCCTTCCCACATTTTGTCCTCCAAAGCAGGAATCATAGAGCAGATCTCTGTATCTATAAATCTTTGGAAATCCGTACCTGAATAATGTCCTCCATCTCTGTTCTTTTCGTAAATCAGATAATCTTCTAAACCTCGTATCCACCAACAAGGCAGTTTCATTGCACATCCCACCATTACAACACAGTTGGACTCCACATGCCTGAGAAGGCCTAGATTTATAAGGTCCACGAGAACCGAGTAACCCTTCTTAAAAGCATCCTCAATACAATCAATAGGACCAAGACAACCTTCCATAATCCAGTGGGCTATCAATTGAGTGAAATTAACAGGACCATTCATGTGAATGTACTGCCAGCTGTGCCAGAAACAATGAATTAGATCATTGGTTGGCATAACTGCATGTGCAATTTGGAGAAAACAAAGGAATAATGCTAGAGGCATCAGTAATTGTTGGGACTGCTCCAAACTTTTCTCTCGAAGCCCGATGTTTATATTCCATAATATAATTTAATGCTTCTGCCATAGCCTCAATCTTAGCAGGATTACCCTCACTTTCTTCATGGATACCTCTAAATAGCAGTTTAAAATCTGGATCTCTAACCTTTTCTTGCAAAAGATTGATGGTCTCTGTAGCAGACAAGGGTTCAATCTCCAACACCTTCGCGTAAGGACCATCATTAGGTTTTCCAGAGTAATCTATGGTAGTCACCAAGACTTTAAATGAAGGCTGCTTAAAATCAGGAACCAAGGATTCAAATTCTGATACAGTTTCATATGCTTCCACTCCCTTACAAAATCCATCCAAGATTAGAAGACACCTCTTCTTACCAGTAGCTGCTGATATTTTCTGTTTCAGATTAGCTTCCGCCTGCATCTCCTCGTACTCATCGTCATCACCATCGTCATCCGCATCCCACTCCTCAGTTGGAAGACATATAGGCAACTGAGCAGCAATCCTCTCAAGCGGAGATTCCTTGTCATGTTTTCTGCTCATAGACAGCCAAAAACATAAATCAAACTGACTTTCTTGCTTTACAATATCATGAACCTTTTTCGCCGTCCATGTTTTCCCTATTCCTGGTTTCCCAACAAGACATACTACTTTAACATGGTCATCGCACAGCTCTTTCAGTATGAATCGTACGCGCAAATCCAGTGTGTCCCCGTTATCCATGGCCGATCCTGTTGCAAAATGTTCGTATGAGGAAGTATCTTCCTGTTAGGCACCAGTAAATAAGAAACAAGCAATCACAGAGTCAAGATATACGACGATAAGGTGATTGAAGTTACAGCTTGAGATTATAGGAGTTACGGTAAGAATGGTGGAAGAGAATGTTCCTTAAGATAACTAAGAGCAAAGTTAGTTTCTATATGCAAAAACAATTCAGATCTAAAGCTGTCCAAGATAAATAAGAGAAAATTTCAAGTGTGGTGAATAATCATGAAGAAGAGTGAAGAAAAAAAAAAAAAAAAAAAAAAACCTGCAGATTTCGATTGGCTACTCCGACAGAAGCAATATCAGCTAGCAGGAGCTTCTTCTGGGCGAAGATAAAATTATGTGTACTCCGACAAGACAAAGTGGATTAGATCACACCCAATAAACTATATATATGGAATTAAATATAATTTAATCTGAAGTTTTATGTAAAGCCAACTCAATTTTAAAATGTTATAAATAATTAATTATTATAAGCATTTTCACTTTTATTTTATTTTATTATTATTATTTTAATTATAAATAATTATTATATCTATTTAGATTAAAATATACGAGTAACAAAAGCCGGTTAAAATTTTTTTAACCCAGAATGAAATTAATTTTTTTTTTATTAAATTAAATACAACCAACTAAAACTAAAATTTTATTGTAAAATATATATTATCGTATCAATTTTATTTTAAAACCATAAGGATTAAATATATAAAAATTTCTAAAATATATATTATCCAAAGAGCATGTTATCCTTCATAGGTTGCTGAATCATGTCTTAAACAGTATATGATTCTGTCTACAAGATGGTTGCCCAAAATCAGAAAGTGCTTCTTTTGCTGCAAAGAACTGGGCATGATTAGGACTCACGAACACTGCAATCTTTAAAGAAAAACTCGTAATATTATATGTTCAATCCCTCAGGGTTCCACCAACTCCTGATTTCGCCAACAAAGAGGAGCCATCGACATCGAACACCCACAGACGAACAAGAGAAGGAATCCATGCGTCGGCTCTTTTGCTCGAAACACAGCCCAACTCTGGAATTAGATGAGCAGATGTTACTTACTGAAAATATCTTTAAAGACTAAATTTTGATTGACATAATTACAACAGCACAAACAAAAGCATGATAAAAGCAGATTACTACGAAGCCTACATAACCCACAATTACACTTATTAGCGACGCGTCAAGCCTTCACTCCATATATGTATCCTCAATAGCAGATTATGCAGCAAATTTAATACCAAATACAGCAGCATTTGCACCAGACTATATAATCATCTCATCTTTTATGTAAAAAAGCTTGAGCTTAAATCAAACAAGCAATTTTCACTTGAAATCTTATCAACATGTTACTCAATCTTACATCCACTGCGAAGATCATAAAAACCAAATCCACAACAGCCACAAACACAAACTCTGACCTACCAGCAACTTTACCATCAGAGAAAACCAATGAAAAAATTACATTTCAACAGCCAATCTGCTTCTTCCTTCATCCTCCAAGGATTTTTTGTACACGCTGAAAATTCACAATTTCCTCATATCCCAGACAAACTCAAAAAAAATTAAAGCTTCAAGATGAAACAGACTTGAGTCCCCAACACATAACAGCAGCAACCACCTGTTAGCTAGCTAGCCGAATTCTTCCAACCTTTAAACTGCAGGATAACCACCCAACGCCTCATAAAAATCACTTTCACAATTCAGCAAACCAGAGCATATTCTTCATGAAGTAGCAACGTGATGACAAAACCAGCACCAAAAACAAGAAAATAGACAGCTCCAAAGCAGTAGAAACGATAGGTCCGCTTCTCATCATTTAAAAAAAAAAAACAAAGCGTCATAGTACCTGTAGAACGAAACAAGTTAACTGGGTGCAGACAAATTACCTGCAAAAACTTACACGTCATAAGACCAACAACGTCATTGAGCATTTAAATTTAAATGTTATATAAAAAAACTATTTTAGATTTTCATTTCAGAGAGAGAAAGTTTACAGAATGTTGTACTTAAAGACTCAAAAGTCATCTATTACGAAATTGTTTTTGGGTATCATAAAAAATTAGATTGGGTATTTAACTACCACAAGTTCTCTTAATAGAAGTTTCAAAGAGCAGCAGCCTGAAAACTTGCAGCTATTGGAGTGATGCTGAAATTTACCCTGTTAAAGGACTATTCTTTTTAATGCTGAAATTTACCTTGTTAAAGGATTGCCTTTTTAAATGTTGAAACTTTGTCGGGAAAAATTAATCTCTAAAACATGCACAATCACGTTAAAATAGAAGTAGAAAGAAAAAGGACACAAGGTTTTACGTGATTTGGCAGTGTGCCTACATCTACGGGTAAAACCGACAAGAAAGTATTTTATTATGTAATCTCAAAGTACATCACCAATAAATTAACAAACTTATTTCTAAAGAAACTAATAAATTTTTTTACAAACAAAAATTATTTAAAATATATTACCCGAATTTTTTTATTCATTTCGTCTCTTCAACATAGGACAATCTCTCCTAAAGTGACTATTCTCCTCACAATCAAAATAGTTTTCCTTTTTACCTCTAAATTTTGATTTGCTCATTCTCTATGCTCTTTCCCTGCTTACCAAACCTTCCCCTTTTGTTATATACTTTATAAAATTCTTTTGCAACTCTTTTGACTTTAGTGCATTGCTAACATCATTTAGTAAAATACTAAGTTTTCTATTTAGTAAAGCATCAACAAAAGTTTTATAAGAGTATGGTAATGAACACAGAATAATTAATGTTTGATTCTCATTTTCAATCTTAATACCTATGTTATTAAGTTCTTAATTAAAGAATTAAACTCATCAAAATGTTATTTAATGGGCGTACCTTCACTCATTCTTAGATTGTACAACCTTATCTTCAAATAAAGACGATTCGTCAGTGATTTTATAGAGTACAACCCTTCCAGTTTCTTCCACGCAGTTGAAGCCGAATGCTCTTCAATAACTTCTCGTAGAACATTGTCATTCATGCTCATAAAAATTGCACATACGGCTCTATCCTGCATATTTATCTTTTCCGAGTCTCTCATACTCTCAGGATATCTTTCTTCAATTGCCCCCCATATATCTTGTAAAACCAGATACGATCTTTTTTTAATCTTCAGCAGAATAAAACTCATACCACCATCAAACTTCTCTATCTTTTACTTTGTGGATGTCATCTTGAATCCCTATACTGTGCACCAAAAACCAAACTGAGAGAAATAACACTATTAGAAAACAAAAAACCACTCATATGGAGTCACTACTGCACAGAAAACCATCACACGTAACCACTGGAGCTCCGACACGAGCCGTTGCGTGCCGTTACACGCCGCCATGCGCTCCTCCACACGTCATCACACACGAAGCCCCCGGGGATATCACGCACCGCCGCTGTTTGCCGCTCATCGCAGCCGAAAATGACTAAAAAACCATAGAAAATGCGAACGATTCCAAACCCAACACTGATCTGGTGAGATCGCATCGAGGGACACCGGAAATCACCGTCACGCAAGACAGGCCGTCGCGCATCTTGTTCTTCTCCAACGATCTTCTGTCGCTCCATCTCTCTCCAGATCTTCTAATTTCATGCACAGACGAGACCAAATGTTGCCGATCCACCTTCGGTTTCTCTTCTCCGACCCTCCTCACGCGAAGTTGATTTTTTCTTCTGGTGGCCGTGGATCGGTTGTCTTCTCCGAGCCATGCGGTTCCTCTTCTCGATATGAATGTTCTGCTCTGGCCACGCTGAAGAAATCGTCCTGCACCATGATAGAAATCGAGCTTCTTCCGCCGCCGGCATGCAAGAAACACACAGATCGGATTTGATATGGTCGCACTTCGTCTTCTTCGTCGGAAACCCGCCAGAGACTGTTTGGTTGTACAAGTCCGGCCGAATAGGTTCTTCACAGATCTGATTGTGACTTTTCAACTTCTTCTAACTTTCTCTCACTAATCCGTGTTCAAACTCGAGCTCTTATACCACTTGTTGGAGAAAATTATTTCCTAAAGCAAGTACAATCACAATAAAATAAAAGTAAAAAGAAAAAGGACACAAGATTTTACCTGATTTGACAATGTGCTTAAATCTAGGGACAAGATTGGTAAAAAAGTATTTTATTATGTAATCTATATCACCAATAAGTTAGCAAATCTATTTATAAAGAATATAGCAAAATTTTTCACAAACAAAAACTCTTTAAAATATACATCAAATATTTCTCATAATAAATATAAAGAAAATCCAAATGAATTATTCCGCAAAATATAAATAAATATCACCAAAATTCAAGACACATCAACAAACTTATTAATAGATCCTCTCAAACAGTGAAATTATACAAATGATGTGAAAGGCAAGGAAGAAAAACACTGTTTCACAGTACTATCATCTTCAATAGTAACATAAAAAAATGCACACCAAACACAAACACATACAAGAGGGCAATTCATCAAAGAAGGAACAATATTCAGCTTCCTTGATACAACAAGACAAGAATTGCATGCCGGAGATTGTATGGGGCAGAAGAAATGGCGGAAAAATAGTAGAAAAAGAGAGATTGAACAATAAATTTCAAGTAGAAATTACTTGATGCATGGATCATTCTTCTAAATATATTCCAACTTTGATGCAAGAGATATCAAGTAGAAATTACAATTGTTAACAAGTATAGTTGATAAGTATGCTTATAAATTGCTAAAAGTAATAGCATGCTCTGCTGCCATTAGATTTTAATATAAAAAAGAAAATAACAAACCCAGGGCATTAATTAAATACATACAATGACATAAAACTGCAATCATAACAAACCTGGAGTTATTTTTCAAAGTTCTGGAAGCCTTCATTCATGTGTAATTTCATTTGCTCAGTAATTTCATTTGTTCACTTCTGAGAGGCCATGTGTTTTCTACGGGGAGGGAGCTTTGGCAACCCAAGACATGCCTGACTGTCATCAGATTGTTCCTCAACTCCAGAACTCTTGGTCATAATCCAGTTTTGTATTGACCGAACAAAAAGAAAGAAGCACGTAAAAAATTCATCAAGTTTTGGGCATTCTCCCCCTGTTAATCTTTCAAGAGAAGGCAATGCAGCTCCGATGCTTTTCAACTCCGGCAGCTCAAACAAATGCAGAGTCCTTAGATATTTCATTGCAGGCACGGTTGTTCCATCAAACTCAAAAACACGTTTGAGATTATCACAAAACCTAATCTCAAGAGTCTGAAGATTCATTGGTTGTCGGGACAAGGAGAAAACAATTTCCAGTAGTGGACAACATTCTAGATACAGATGCTTAAGATTACTGAATCTCTCAATTTGCAAATTCTTGTTGAATATACTCTTCAAATTAGGGAGGTTAAGAATCTGCAGAATCTCAAGTTTGTTTGACACTCCAATGGCTTCCTCTTCTCTACTGAAAACACTCTCCACGTTGCTGCATCTCTCCATGCAACAGCCTCTCATTGCGCTGATATTGTTTGCACCTAATTCAGATAACCAACTGATATTTGCATTATCTCGCAAACATATATATTGAGCACGCCTGAGAACACCCTCCAGACCGAGGAAAGGACTGCAAGACCGAATTTTCCAAAGACTGCCTGTGGATTTCCGAGTAACTAGGAAAACATCTGGTCCTTGTGTAAATATCACTAAATTTGGCTTCATCTCTGTGGCTAAAGAAATCTCCATCTTCACCATGCTTTATTGGAGGTAAAACAGAAAAATGAAATTGCTTGATGTATGCATCCCATAACATTGGGATTGTTGTCCAACATTTTGAAAAACTTCCTGCCACGAACCATTATGTGGAGATTATTTGCACTCAATGGAAATATTTTTGCCGCCCCAAAGATGCCACAATCAACCCAATTTAGTTCCTCTGGTAGGCGCTTTATCCTCCTCCAATTAATTTCTTCAGTATCCTTCAGGAGGGGGAGATAAAGTTGTTTAAGGCAAGGCAACTCTGAGATCTCATATGGAAATTCTTTTATCCCAGTACCCCTTAGATCAAGAACCTCCAAGTGACTAAGTGATTCCAAATGCTGCAGCTTCTTCAGGCACCAACAATCTCTTAGCAATAGCCTGCAGAGGTTGCAAAAGAAGTTCAAGGAAGGAAGGTGTTTGACTGGTGTTTCTGAAAGATCAAGAACTTCAAGCCTCGTAAGCTTTTCCAAGCCTGACATGTCTTCCATGCGTGACCACCCTCTCAATGACAACTGGGTTAAGTTACTTAGGAAGAAGATATCTATGTAAATAGGAGTTTTAGACAGGTTGAGAATCCGAAGGTTCCTCATATAATTAAGTAAATCACTCATCGAATGAAGTCCTCCAGGAGGATGTCTTAGATTAGAAATATTGAGCTCCTCAAGATTTGATAGAGACCCTATAATGGGAAAGTAAACATCCCGAATTCCACAAAGTCTGAGTATCCGAAGTTGAGACAAACCCAAAAGAGTATTGGAATACTCACCATGTAATGACAACTCAGTGCAACCAGAAAGATCAATCGCTTCCAGATTTTTGGGGACAGCTGGCAACCGGCTAAGGGAGGAACAACCACGTAGGATAAGTCTGCGCATGTTGGGGAACTGCCTAAAGTCAAAACCTGTCAGAGAACGTGCATTAGTGAGGTCAAGTACCTCGAGCCTTGCAAGCCCTTCCATTATTGGCAGATGTTCTAAGAATTTGCAATCCCTTAAAATGATAGTGTGAAGGTTAGGAAGGTGGGAGAGTGATGGTAAAGACCGAACTTTGGTATTTGAGAGGTTTAGGCAACGAAGGCACCACAAATGTCGAAAGGATTGATCTTCAATTTCAACTACATTAAAGGAACCAGAGAAATCAAGTAATTCAAGGTCTTTACAAGCTTTTGTACTTGGCAGCTTTGTCAGTGCAGTACAATTTCTTACCACAATATGAGAAAGGTTGCGAGTGATAGAAGGTAAGACACGCAAATCAGTTTCAGATAAATCAAGAACTTTGAGACTAGGTGAAATGTCATCATAGATCTCCCTTAAACGGACAGCACCAGAAAGATCAAGAACTTGGAGATTAGAAAGCCCTTCTAGCCTTGGAAGTCTAGTTAAGGATTTACAATTTCTCAATACAAGTTGTGTTAGCTCTGCGAGGCCAGATAGAATTGGTAGGCGATCAATCTGCGAATGAGAAACATCAAGGATCCTGAGTTTTTGGAATTGAGAAAAGGTTCTGTCGTAGAATCTTTCAAAACATGAAGCACCATTAAGGTCAATGACCTCAAGCTTTTTCAATTCACTGAGTCGTGAAAGCATTTTCAGGTGGCGACATCGTCTCAAGATAAGCCAGCGTAATTCAGTTAAACTGGAAATAGAAATAGGTAACCTTTCAACCCGCACTCCAGAGAAGTTGAGACTTTGGAGATGAAGCATATGCTGGAAGAAATCATCTGGAATTGTCGTCAATGATGTAGCACCAGATATCTCGAGAGTAACTAATGATTTGAGTCCTTTTATCTGATCAATCGCCTCCAGAAACTCACAGCCCCTTAAGATAAGCATTGTAAGCTCTTGCATGTGCAAGAAGGATGCTGGTAGAGATTTGAGCATAGGATTGAAGATGCCAAGAACATTAATACCATTCAGGGTATGAAAGAATGCATCTGGGACTTCCTTGCCTAGACGATTACTGTCAAGCAATAATGTTGAGATTTTCTCTGATTTGCTACTATATCCAACCGTTCTTATTACACCATCAATCAATGCAATGTCCCCAAATCCTTCCCACATTTTATCCTCCAAAGCAGGAATCATTGGACAGCTCTCGGTATCTATAAATCTTTGGAAATCCGTACCTGAATAATGTCCTCCATCTCTGTTCTTTTCATAAATCAGATAATCTTCTAAACCTCGTATCCACCAACAAGGCAGTTTCATTGCACATCCCACCATTACAACACAGTTGGACTCCACATGTCTGAGAAAGCCTAGACTTAGAAGGTCCATGAGAAAAGAGTAACCCTTCTTAAAAGCATCCTCAATACAATTAATACCACCAAGAGAACCTTTCATAATCCAGTGGGCTATCAATTGAGTGAAATTAACAGAACCATTCATGTGAATGTACTGCCAGCTGTGCCAGAAACAATGAATTAGATCATTGGTTGGCATAATTGCATGTGCAATTCGGAGAAAGCAAGATATAATGCGGGAGGCATTAGTAGTTGCTGAGTCTACTACTAACTCTTCTCTAATAGCCTGATGTTTATATTTTGTGATGTAATTTAATGCTTCTGCCATAGCCTCAATTTTAGCAGGAGCACCCTCGCTTTCCTTGTAGATATCTTCAAATAGTAGTTTAAAATCTGGATCTCCGAGTTGTTTTTGCAAAAGAGTGAAGGTCTCTGCTGCAGACAAGGGTTCCATCTCTACCACCTTCAAGTAAGGACCAATAAGATTTTCAGAGTAAACTATGGTGGTCACCAAGACTTTAAATGAAGGCTGATTAAAATCAGGAACCAGCGATTCAAATTCTGATACAGTTTCATATACTTCCACTCCCTTACAAAATCCATCCAAGATTAGAAGACACCTCTTGTTATCAATAGCTGCTGATATTTTCTGTTTCAGATTAGCTTCTGTCTGCATCTCCTCGTCCTCATCGTCATCACCATCGTCATCCGCATCCCACTCCTCAGTTGGAAGACATATAGGCAACTGAGCAGCAATCCTCTCAAGCGGAGATTCCTTGTCATGTTTTCTGCTCATAGATAGCCAAAAACATAAATCAAGCTGACCTTCTTGCTTTACAGTATGACGAACCTTTTTTGCCATCCATGTTTTCCCTATTCCTGGTTTCCCAACAAGACACACCACTTTAACATTGTCAGTGCTCAGCGCTTCCACTATGAATCGTACGCGCAAATCCAGTGCGTCCCCGTTACCCATGGCTGATCCTGTTGCAAAATGTTCGTATGAGGAAATATCTTCCTGTCATATACCAGTAAATAAGAAACAAGCAATCAAGGAGTCGAGATATGCTATAAATAAGATCACTGAAGTTAGAGCTTAAGATTGTAGGAGTAATGTTAAGAATGGTGGAAGAGAATGTATCTTAAGATAACTAAGAGGAAAGTTAGCTTGTATATGTAAAAACAATTCAGGTCTAAAGCTGTCCAAGATAAATAAGAGAAAAATTCAAGTGTGGTGAACTCGTAGAAAATTTGGAACAGAACAATCGTGAAGAAGAGTGAAGAGAAAAAAAAAAAAAAAAAAACCTGTAGATTTCGATTGGCTACTCCGATAGAAGCAGTATCAGCTACCAGGAGCTTCTTCTGGGTGAAGATAATTGATCTTTTTTATACAAACAAAAACAAGAAAAAAATTCTTTAACTCCTAATGGAAAACAAGATCATGATTTTGCTAGCAGAACCTGCAAGCCAACGAGATGAAGAAGATGAAGAACAATATCAATAAGATCATGATTTTGTAACTTGCAGAAATAAATAAATTAAACATATTCTAAACAAAAGCAAAAGCCACTCCGACCAGACGAAGTGGATTAGATCACACCCAATAAATTACATGTGTGGAATTCAATGAATTTTTTTTTTTTTAATATCTAAAAATATAAATATTATAAGTATTATTACTTTAATTTTATTATATTTATGATTATCATTATTTTAACCGTAGATAATTATTATATCTATTTAAATTAAGATATATGAGGTACAAAAATCTTTAAGAATCTTTTTGATGCATTAAAAAATTTTTATTAAATTTTATTTTAGATAAATGAACTTGTGATTATGGCATATCTCATATAAATTTTTATAATAAAAACAGACGAATTTACCTTTTTTCTTCCGTAAACAAAGTAAGAAACATATCTAGTAAGAGAAGTCGATTAAAACTGAACTTAACGCTGTGATGATCCTAAAATTTTGAAACTTAACACAAGGTCTTAGTAAAGCCCCTGTATGGGAAGCACTGTGGAGATTCATCATACCCAAGAGGGAGCCCCTTAATTATGAACTGTTGCTTGCTAGCATGGAAATCCAAGGACTTCACTACTTACAGTCTTTAAGAATTAATTGCTTCTTATTAATAAAACCAGATACCCTGATTCAAAATGTTATATTTAAAAACTAATGAGTGCAAAGTGGAAAAGAAGTAGATTGAGATTTTTAAATAGCATAAGAACCAATTTAATATTTAACTTCAAACTATTGATACTAATTATAATTTAAAAAATATTTATTTTTTAATATAAATCTATTAATATATATATATATTTTTTTTTTATCTTTTGAGCAACCATTTGCAAGACATTGCTAATATACAAGATGTAGTTGGGAAAATATGAACAATAATAAGTACTAAATCCATATCCTATTCCTTTTGGTATAAACCCGAATAAGAATATTGAAGATGCAGAAATGTATTCTGAGGTTTCTCGAAATACCATGTAATATATCAGTAATAAAATTTGGAGACAAGCGAAAGAAAGAGTTTACTTTGCTTAATACCGGGCTATCAGAGAATATCTCTCCATCACCATCTGTATTATCTACTACTTAGAGATAACTTGGATGTTTTAAAGAATATAAAACAAAATTTGTCACAAAAAAAAAAAAAAAAAAACTTAATTGAAGCTCCAAGGATCATATGCTCCTTTATATGTTGCTTAATAATGTCTTACAGTATATGACTGCCCTAATAACTACATAAAAACCAGATGATACAGAACTCTAGTGTGTCAATACTATGATAAATGAACTTGTCAACATCATGCATGTATGTATATACTAGCTAGTGAAAATTTCATATTAACAGAAGTCTATTATCTATATAATAAACACTACAACAGGCATGCTGAACTTATATGTCAAGCATTTTCCAATGACTTTTCTTTTTTTTTTTTTTTTAATGTTCATAATTTCATTTCCGACCTCATTTGAGCACCAAGGATAAACATTTTCACCCAAGAGGTTAACAGAAGAGAATTACTCTCCACCTCAAGGGAACATATTCTCTCTATAAGATCATTGCCCAAAATCAGAAGGCGATTCTTTTGCTGCTAAGAACTAGGCATATGATTAGGACTCCAGAACACTGCAATCTTTAAAAAAAAAACTCCTAATATTATATGTTCAATCCCTCAAAGTTCCACCAACTCCTGATTTCTCCAAAGAGGAGCCACCAACATCGAACACCCACAGACCAACTAGAGAAGGAATCCATGCATCGGCTCTTTCGCTTGAAACACAGCCCCAACTCTGGAATTAGATGAAAAGATGTTACTTACTGAAAGCTGCACAAAACAGGGCACTCTTGCCTTGACTCACCAAGCCAACTTTATCCTAATAATATCCATGAACTCACACAATCTGAAAAAATCTTACACAGGTATACTCAGGTATTTGACTCGGTTCATTGCCAGTTTTAATTATATTTGAAACTAGGTGAAAATATCTTTAAAGACTAATTTTGATTTATTTATTAATAAAAGTCTAATCCTCCATGACATAATTACAAACTGCACAAACAAAACATAACAAAAGCAACAACTGCAGATTACTACAGCCTACATAACCCACAATTACACTTATTAGCAACACATCAAACCAAAGTTCACATGCAATAGCAGCAGATTTCACCCTTCACACAAAACTCCAACAAGCCTGCACTCCATATATGCACCCTCAGCAGCAGATTATGAAGCAAATTTAATACCAAATAGAGCAGCTTCTTCACCAGACTATATAATCATCTCATCTTTATGTAAAAAAGCTTGAGCTTAAATCGAACAAGCAATTTTCACTTGAAATCTTATCAACATGTTATTCGTTCTTATAACATACAAATCATTTTCACAATCCAGCAAACCAGAGCATATTCTTCACAAAGTAAGCAACATAGTAAAGAAGCCAACACCAGAAACGAGAAAATATAAAGCTCCAAATCGGACCGCTTCTCACCATCCAAAGAAACCATGGTACCTGCAGAACAATACAACTTAACTGGGTTAAAACATATTACCTGTAAAACCATAAACGCCATTTTTCAGAATGGTAAAGTTTACAAAATGTTGTACTAAAGACTCAGAGGCCTGAAATCATGCAGCTATTGGAATAATGCTGAAATTTACTAATAGATCCTCTCAGGGTATGAAATTATATAGATGATGCGAAGGGTGAAAATAAGGAACAAAAACACTCCTGCGATCAGGGTTTCACAAAACTATCATCTTCATTAATGAGGTACGAACAAGCACACCAAACACAAATAATTACAATGAGGCAATTCATCAAAGAAGGAACAATATTCAGCTTCGTTATTACAAGATAAGAATTGCATACAGGAGATTCCGCGAGGCAAAAGAAATGGTGAGAAAGTAGTAGAAAAAGAGAATCAGATTGCACAACAAATTTCTATCACAAATTACTTGATGCGTAGATCATCCTTCTAAAAATATTCCAACTTTGATGCAAGAGATATCAAGTAGAAACTACAATTGCTAACAAGAATCGTTGAAAAGTATGCTTATAAATTGCTAAAAGCAATAGCATCCTCGACTGCCGTTAGATTTTAATATTAAAGGGAAAATAACATACCACAGCCATCGATTAAAAACATACAATGACATAAAATGGCAAACATAACAAACCTGGAGTTATTTCTAAAAGTTCTGGAAGTCTTCATTCATGTGTAATTTCATTTGTTTTCTGAGAGGCTATGTGTTTTATTCGGGGAGGGAACTTCGGCAAACCAAGGCAGGCCTGACTGTCATCAGATTGTTCCTCAACTGCAGAAATTAGGGTCATACTCCAGTTTTGTATTGCCCAAACAAAAATAAAGAAGCATGTAAAAAAGACATCAAGTTTTGGGCATTCTCCCCCTGTTAATCTTTCAAGAGAAGGCAACGCAGCTCCGATGCTTTTCAACTCCGGCAGCTCAAACAAATGCAGAGTCCTTAGATGTTTCATTGAAGACACTGTTGTTCCATCAAACTCAAATACACGTTTGAGATTGTCACAAAACCTAATCTCAAGAGTCCGAAGATTCATTGGTTGTCGGGACAAGGAGAAAACAATTTCCAGTAGCGGACAACATTCTAGATACAGATGCTTAAGATTACTGAATCTCTCAACTTGTAAATTATTGTTGCATATACTCTTCAGATTAGGGAGGTTAAGAATCTGCAGAGTCTCAATTTTGTTTGACACTCCAACAGCTTCTCTTCTCTACTGAAAACACTC